TTTTAAGTACTCCATTAGTTGAAAATTATTGGTGAAGACAAGTGAGCAGATATTCGCAAAATAAATATATACAAGCTATAGCCATTTTGCTAACAGGAACAAACATTTGCTATATATTAAATGCATACAACAGAAGATAATTTGATTTTTTTTCTAGTCAGACCCATAAATCTACAATGCACAAAATCAGTCTTGAATACTGTTGAAGATGACACTGTTACTTTGTCAAAAATTTGTCAAATGCAATACCACTAAAACAAAGTTAGCATCCCAGCCCAAAAGTGCCTTTGCTGAATGTCTATTTGTAGTGTTTGCATTGTTCAATTTCCATGCCAGAGTACAAAGTTGATATGTCATATTCAGTATCAATCAATCATATTTATTCATCTTTATTTGCTATGCTGTCTGACAGAATCTTGAAGGTAGCACGAAAATCAAAACTATCTGAGATGAGTATAGGATTTAATATGGTAGAAGAAATATCTGAAGTCCATCAACATAGATGAGGAGAAAAGTAAACTCTCTGTTGGTGGAACTGAAGCCCAAATAAAGACTCAAGAGTAAATGAAAGCATAAAACCAGAATTTTAGTTAGACTACATTTTAAGAGTGGGATTCAGAAAGCTTTACCTGGAGCTAATATATCTGTTTTTCTGATGTAAAAATTCTAAAGAAGGTATCTTTTTCCTGAAGGAAGATACATAAACCTGACCAGCAACTCCTAACTATAGCAGGCAGACCTAAGTGCATCTATCTATTAATCTTGACCCCTTTTCCTGGCAACTCTTTTCTCATCCTTGTGATTTTTTCCCCAAGTGTCAACTCTACCTAACCATTCTGCAGCCTACAAGGGCTCTGGCTAAGTCCTCCTCCAGACTGCCAATGGAAGGAGCTGTCAAGCTACAGCAGCTTCCCAAGGACACCAGAAGCTGCTGATGCCATCTCTCAGCATAACTCCTACTCTCTCCACAGAGCTCTGCCTCTCAGGTGTTTATGGTTGTCTCTTTGCAGCAAGACGAGCTCTCCACAGTGTTGGAGACTAAATGAATGAATCTCTAAGAAACTGTTGAAACCTGAATGGTTTCTGCTCCACCTCTCATCACTCATACATCATGTGAGTAGAATATCAGGTTATACCTAGATGGAATATAAGATTTTAACAAGTAAGGAGTTAGTCAAGACTCAAAAGAATGTTTCTCCAGTTGTTGTTTTCAATTCTTCAGCTGTACTAGAGTATTCAGGCTTTAAAAAATTAGTTGGATGGGGAAAAAATTGTACACTAGTCCAAGCATTTCTCAGCGAAGTCAAAGTGATTAAATTAAGGCGTTTTCATCAACTTGATGATGGAAGAAACTCTACTGCTAGTAGAGCCAGCCCAGGGCCCTGGGAGGGTTTCCATGTGAGAAGTCGAGCCACTTTGTCATCATTCTTACATTATACTAGCTCATATTGCAACATAGAAGAAAACTCAGCCTTTAGCAAGATCAGGAATGAGGCAACCCCACATGTTGAGCTTGTCATCTGAGGTTGTTGGCAAATACAAGCCAATGTTGACTCATACCCATTTGCTAACAGATACAAGGAGCCCAGGAAGCCCACAGTGACCTTTTCGATCATACTTTTCAGTGGTGCTGTGCACATACTGGAAGAGACTGAGGACTAGGGTTATATTCCTGATGTGGACACAAGTAAAAACATGACTATTCTGAAAAATATCCCAAGGTTAAATATAGTTTAGCAAAATAAAAGCTAAAGATGCTTCAATTGCTTTTTTCCAAATGTCATTAGTAGCTATAGAAATTTCATTTTCATAAACCCACATCTATAATCTTATAATTCTTGTAATTAATATCAAACAAACTTTATGGGAGGGGAAAAAATAAGGAGGGGGAAAAAGAAAAGGCACAGAGTGGAGTTTTTCTGAGAAGTGAGGCATGAAACACTCAAATCAAAGTGAGGGAGGATTAAACGAAGCTGTCTCTGGGCAAGTTGCCTGAAAATGCAACTGTGTATGGATGGTTGGATAGCTAACAAAAGAGTGAAAATTAAAAGTCCCTCGAATAATCAAGGTTCCCTAGTAACAAAACCAGATTCAGATACAGACTTTCAAAGAATGTTAAAAGGAACCAGGTGCTGAACCTTTAGAAGTATTAAGGCTTCTTTGAAAATCCAAATCATGGTGTGCACTGAGAGACTTGAGGGGACAGTTAATGATGAAATCTCTAGAGATTAAAACAAAAAGTAACTTTCAAAACTTTGAATGCTCCCTTGACACCAAAAGCAAACTGTAGGTAGACTGGAATCACTCATTACCATAATCGAGTCTTGCTGGTATTGTCAAAACCTAAAAGAAAGTAACATACACACTCATGCACAAACATAACCCTTGCCAAAGAATGCGTGACTGGAGGTGATTTTTTTAGTGATTTGAGATAATGACTGAGAGTTCTGTTAGGCAAAGAAAAGCATAAACGAAAAAAACCCGGGCTACAACTGGAAAAAGAGCCTTCCTGTTCTGACGATTTTCAATGGTTAAACAAGATTAAAGAGTGAAATAACAGTAGCAAAAATCTCTAATATATTTTTGTAAAATGGCAATAGTTTCATTAAACAGATAGATAATCATGAATCTTTTGCCAGACATGGAAAAAGAACTGAAATAAAAAAATTTCTTATATTTATAGATGAGAAAAAAAAATCATTGAGTTGGGCACAACATATGATATGGAAGTGTAAAGATTATCAAATCCACTTCCAGAAAAACTAAAATTTGTCTTCACTATAATTCTTTTGAAAGTAACTGAGACATTGTTTCTACAGTGGGGATGGTTGGATTATACAAAAAAATTTAGGTTCCATGCTACAAGGGTGCTCTATACATCTAAATCTTACCATTTGTTCTTGTCTCAAAGAGTAGCATTATTTTTTTGCTACTAAATTTCATGGATTTCAGGCCCCAGAGAGTACCATTGTTTTCTACTGTGTTCCATAGATTTGAAATTCATCAGAATTTTCTATGTTCTTTCCATCTGAAAAGCTCAACAAAAATACAAGAATTTTAACTTAAAAAAACTAACAAAAAAACTTGAACAAACCAACAAGAAACAGTTAATGGAATAAGGAAGGCCACTTAAAAAAAAAAAATCAAGCCAAACCAAATTTAAACCCAACCTAATTTTCAATTTTCCACTAATATTTCATAGTGTTGTTATAATCAATGCAAATACCATCTTTACACTTAGTTAAAGAATAACTCTTTGGTCAAGACCTACTAGTTATCCAGTAGTTATCTAGTAGAAATTTTCAGAATTAACTTCAGGCATCAAGTCTTGAAATATGTTATCACTTTGTTAAATATAAGCTCAGAGAATTGTATTGACTACAATACAAGGGTAACAAAAATATACAAAATTTGTTACCTTCTTACTCTTTTCTTTATACCCATATTCCACCATTGTCTTCAAACAATTTAATTAAAGACAGACATCTTACACTACAAACTTATTAACTTGGTCAACCACAAACAAACAAACCCCTCTCATGGGTTCATATATGTACTCCAGGACACAGAAAACATGTCCATACAGTCAAAATTAAAATACTGCTTGGCACTACAATGTGAAGCCTGTCAATTCCACATCTTCAAAATGGACACTTCCCTCTTCTTAGTGATCTTTGGTAACACAGTGAAAAATAAGACCTTGAAACTTTTAGTTGTGGTAGGACGTAGAAGACACAGAAAATCATTCCCTTAAAATGCTGACAGTTTTGACCAATTTAAACGCCACATTAGTGTATTTTATGTGTGTTGCCTTGAATATACTGTCAGATTTCATAGTTATCTAGTATCTGTTTTCAAGGCATGCAAACACTAAGTTAATCATTTAGCCATCTTACACTATCAGTCATAAGTTAGTGACAACCAGAGTTCTCATGTATGCCTGCAGAAGTTCATTCTATCTGCAGTGTCAGGTAAGTCATACAGTAATGGCTGCTCTTCTGACTACTTTCTAGTGGAGTGTAAGTGCTAAATCAACTGTGGCCTTGCTGTAAGAACTCTATTGTTGGCATACATATGTATTTGAAGAACACTGTGCCCTATTGCTAGCACTGAGGATTTGGAACATTTATATCTTTTTAAAATTAAATGTATGAAGCCTCTGAAGATTAAAACTATATAAGCATCTAAACAATGCTGTGTATTGCATTTCAGAGGTACAAATTAATACAATGAGACAAATTAATCGCAGAATTTCAGACACAAATACTTGAAATTATCGTGAATGAATGTCATGGTTTAACCTCAGGCAACAGCTTAGCACCACACAGCCACTTGCTCACTCTCCCTCTGGTGGGATGGTGGAGAGAATCAGAAGTGTAAAAGCCAGAAAACCCCATGGGCAGACAGGTGTTCAGACACCTCCAGGAAAAGATAGCTCCATCACGTGTAACAGTGAGTTGGCATGTGAATCAACACACACAGGCAGCCAGAATAACCACAAAACCACAGCTGAAATGGAAAGAGTAAAATTATTTCATTACCTTGCTAACAGGAGGATCCTGAAGCAACTCCCAGGTGGAGACACAAGTGGGAACGCAGGCACCATCGGGCTCAGTCCATTTACCAAGGGCCCACATATGTAGTTTACCACAGTGCTGTGATCTACCCTGTGCCTTTTATCATCTCTGAGCTTTAATCTCTCTCCCAAAACAGGGAGCTCAAGCACGTTTGTGAGAGTGCCTCCAAGTCTCTCCAAACACCTATGTTATCTCTACATGGAAAGTCTACTTCTCAAAACAGAGTATAAGCAGCATCAGGCATAATACATGGGATTCCCCACACTGTTATTCTCCAGACCTTGGTATTTCCAGCTTCAAGGTCACTTGAGCAAATCTATATCCTCCTTGCCATTCTTCCATTTTTAACTCTTTCCTCTCAACACTTGGGAAGACAAATGCCATCACTCTTAACGTTGAGCCATTTCCTTCTTCTTCCCCCAGCTCTGTATGCTGAGAATGACACCATACAGTCTGGGATCTCTTTGGTCAGTTGGAGGTCAGTGGTCCCAGCTGCATCCCCTCGTTGTGCACCCCAAGCCTGCATGACTGGTGCTGAGGTGTGGAGAGCAGGAAAGGCATTGACTCTGTGTGAGCCCCAATCGGCAATAACAAGAACGTATCTGTTTTATCAACACTGTTTCCAACACAAAACCAAACTGTAGCCAAGTATCAGCTTCTATGAAGAAAGTTTACTCTATCCTGACCAAACCCAGCAAAACACAACACCTTATGTTCTGTTTGACTAATTGCAAACAGAGTCTCAAATTATGTTATTCAATTGCTGCTAGCACCGATTTACATCCTGTAGTTCCATCTACAAATTTTAAAATTCAGAATCTGATTTTGTGTAATGGGCTGATCCATTTCATGTCAACACTTTCAATTTCTAGCTTTTTCAGTGACATCCAGTTCCCTAACATCATTTTAAGTGGTGTTAGTTAGAGAGTTAGTCTTATCTACAAAAACTTTAAAGAACTTTTGAAGTCAACACCTATTCGAAGTCCTGAATGGAGTCATACAAATGAAAATACTTTAATTTAGTTTTTGAAAGAGTGACAAGACAAAATTTGAAAACTTTGGAAGAATTCTTTCTGTTTGAATTTTGAAGCAATTGAAATAACACAAAAATTTGTATAGAAACAGAAGAGACAAAGTCAAATTTAAAATTGAAAAGAAGGAAATAAAGGGAAAATGTGAAATTTCCATGAATTTCCGATATGAAAAAGAGGACACCGGACTGCTGGTTTTATTGATTTTCTTTCAATGAGTAGTATTAACAATGCTATCCCTTAAGAGCATATCCCCAACATGCCCAGAACTTCAAGTTCATCTGTACTGATGGTCCATAGGCACCTGGCAGGACAGTCCTTTGAAAATATTAGTGAATCAGCTTTGACATTCATTCATCAGCTTTATTTTACAAAGGAATATGTTGACATATCTCCAGCTTCTTCCTTCTAGGTATCTCTTAACTATTGCATAAGATCTTCCACCGGAAGACTTTGTTAGTCAAAATATTCATGTAACCCTTCTGTTCTCTTCTGAGAGAAAATTTTGTTAGTTTGTTTGTTTGTATGGAAAAAAGCATTAATATGTGCTAAAGTTTTGAAAAGATACAACAGACATTGGATATTGCAACCAAACATACAAATTTTACAAGTTTTTAAGAGTTACAAATCTTCAGAGTTTACTTATTAATTTACTAGTTCTGAAAATTGCCTCTTATTTTGCTACTGTTAGAAGATGAATTACATTGCACTGAAATGAGTATTCAGATTCAGATTTAAAATGCACGGGGTTATTTCAGTTTTTTATTCTTTTGGTAAATGTCCATTCTGAACACAGACAACTCCATAAATCTCCTCGAATCTGTGGGATATTTAAATCTAGGCATTTGCCTCATTGATTGGATTCAACTAATCCCCGAAGCAACACACATATGGATGCAGCAACTTCTTTGCTAATTTGTTCAAATACTCTGTGTGCTCACCATAAGTGTCAATGTCTCTCATTTAAATCAAATAAAATAACAACATGTTTCTTAGGAGAGAAATTTATAGTGCTTAAGCAACAAAATAAGTCACTGAAAAGCTATTCTGCTTGCTGTTCGCCCACCATTAACTTGGAATAACTCCTGAATTCAAAGAAGTTTGAAGAATCACTACTGTCTTAGTGACCCTAGCTGAAACCTGTACCCCTTGTCGCTTTGGACAACCATAAATAATATAGTCAATCTTTGAGAAATAATGCTTTCTCAGGAGATTTTTTCTCAAAAAACACTATACTCTTTCATTCCTCCTTTGCTCTTCCAGTATTCCCTATTTCTTTGCCATGAGTTTTTCTGGCACATCACTAATCTATAGCAGAAAAAGAAAGTGAAAAATATGGTACAAAGAGCAAAAATAGCTTCCTTTGTCACGTTCTTTCCTCAAAACATTTCAACTTTTACTGTATTCTTTTAATACACCACAGCTAGTCCTTCCAAAGCAACTTTCCACACTATTGGCAAAACTAATAACATATAGGGTCCAAAAATGATAACATCATTGAGGGATAAGAGGAAGAATTTAAATTATAAACAAATTGCATATAGGAACAATTAGTTTTATGATACGTATATAGAATATCAATATGACTTCAACCATTTTCTATTGATCATTTAATATTTTTATTTCTTTGGCTAGTGCAAAATTTCTTCTGTATTATGTAAAGATGTAATTCTATTCATACATTGAAAGACTTTGCAGCTCACAGAGCTAAAATAATCCATTCTGGGATTTCAATAACAAATACCAAATACTTCCCCAATTCACTTCCCTTCCTTTTTTCTTTTTTTTCTTTAAAGATCTGATTTATCCCTTGTCACTAGAGCAACAAAAAGCCTAAAGGTACCTGTATATATATAACTATGCAAAGAAATAACATTAGCTATTTAGCTAATAATTAGCAGTTAGTTGATATATACTGACATGGTTCAGTTTGAGGCAACAACTCTCTTTGATCTTCAGGATGAGAAAAATAAAAACCTCAAAGGTAATGGTGTGCATGTTGGTAAGTGAGAATATCAATCATGTGTCAAGACTGGGCAAATAAGAAAGGTACACAGAGTCCCACAGTAGGGCTAAGCAGGTGCTTCCATATGTAACACTACAACACCTAAAAGTAGGTCTCAAAAACGCCAAGAGAGATTTGTCAAAGTAGAAGTAAATTCTACAGTTCGGTTCTAAAAAGTGCTTGGAGCATTATGAGGGCACCAGCAAAGGTATTCTCTGGGATTCAGAAATGTATTTGCTTCTGACAAAATCATGGAAAAAACCCCTTCACTGGTATGGCAAAATGAAAGTGGGTCAGTGTATATTTTTTCTATAGGAAAGCCGCTTTTCACCCTCTCTAATTTTTACCACTGCAGTTAATTGCAAGATAGAAGTAATGAGTTAGCAGGCATATTACAAACAAAAAAGACACTTTGCATTTCATGTGTCAACATAAAGATCTATGGAAACAATAAAATTCCTGTTTAGCTGCCCAGATTTTCATTCCAAGGGGTTCTTCCCTACATGCAAATTTATATTTTAGATTTCTTAAAAAAGGAAGGCACTCAGTAAATACTAAATTTCAATGATGACACATGCTCACTGGTGAGTACATGATTAAGCAGCTTGCAGTATGGAAAAACTGAGTTTAAGCTTCCTGAAATGGCCTACTTTATCATTTGCTCTGAGAGCACCTGGGTAAACTTTGGCAGTTGACATTAAAAAAACCCTAACATTTTGTAAGCCTGTAAAACACTTGAGATGAGAGCATGTGTTAATTGGCTCTTGCACTTTTATCCTCATCTAACAATAGCACTGGTTATCCGGAACAAGCTGTGCTTTTTATTATATCACTGCCACAATCCTTGTAAAGTTGAAGCAGTCCCTATTAAAAGACCCTAGCTCGCTTTGCCCTTGCATGAAGCTGTTTAGGAACATATCACTTCTGTGATGTAGGATAGCCATCTCATCATGTGTTAATTGGCCCAGGCTAAGTGACTAGTCAGGGTAGTGTCATGCTCAAGCAGCTATATATATTTTGGATTGGAATGGTTTTTCCTCTGGCCAGACTGGGATGATTGCCAAAGCCAGACTGGATCTGTTTATAAATGGCTGCATAGACAAATTTCCTGTGTCCTTCACTTTATCATAAAAGAGATTGTTAGAGTTGCCTATAATGAAGTCTGGGCAACAGTCATCTTTCTAATATCCTGCTTTTCAGTTACCTCTGTTCGTCTTCTGTGAGTGAAACTAGGAGATGTTAGCCCATATAAAACAAATCTTAACAAATTTATTTTAAAATAAGCAAGCGCTTTTGTGTTTTGAGTTAGGGACTGTGAATCAGTCTCTTTAACAATGTTCCATTTAACAATCTGGTGAAACGTAGCTGCATAGGGTCTGGGGGAGTCAAGTTTCACACGTAATTAGTGCAAACTAGCTATAATTTGATGGAAAAAAAAGGTCACCAAACACTGTATTATCACTAAGTATTTTCCAATGTCTTGTATTGACTAAATCACACATTTATAAATCCCTAGGTTTCAATTGCATATTAGAGTGGTAAACCTTGAGTTACCTTGAAAAGTTTCTTAATTCTGTCTCTAAAAACCCCTCAAATCAGACCAAAATTTACCTTCCACTTATGCTCATAAAGATTCCTCTTTTTAAGAATTAAGGCAAAAAACACAATTAAATTTCAAAGAGGACTAACACTGTGTCACAGGTGGGTCTGTTTGCATTAACACCTTAAGAATGAGATTGAGAAGGAAGAAATAAAAAATTTGATTGATATTTGGGGTGGGAGATGAGGAACAAAGAGCATGGAAGTCAGGATAAGGAAAGATAACTGTACGGGAAGAACTGGGGTTATCTACGTAATTAAAAGAGATTACCACCAGAAAAGCAGTAACTTTTCTGGGAAATGAAATGGGAAGCCAGAGAAAATGAACATAGTCAATGAACAGTAAAGTAGGTAAAGCACAGCTCACATAAGAAGCTAGAGAGATTTACTCAGAAAGAACGTTGCGGTTGGTATGGGTTTGGAACAGAGATTTACACTGGAGATTATGGCTGATGGAGAGAGAAAAGAGGTGAAGAGCAAGGACAAGGAGAAGAAGCTTTGCTAAAACAGGTAGAAAGGATAGTGCAGTAAGAAGTTTGTCTCACAAAAGTACTTTGTGATCGAGTGAAGAGTTCTCAACAGCAACACTGGTTTTCCTGACCATAATCCCAAATGTTCTCTGTCTAGCAGTAACTTTTGCAGTCCAACATAAGTATGCAATTTTTGTTAATACTGATGTACCAGAGAGTGATTACCTCGTACTACTAGTCACTACTCTTTCAGTTGAGGTAGCAGAAGATTTGTAATATTGAATACAAAATCATAAATCCATGCTCAGTATCCATCTGTGTATCAGTATGTCATATGATTAGACACATTGTGCTTTGCCTTTAGCTAGTTTTCCTTGAAGTCAAGAATCTGCATAATGCTCAAACACTGCATTCAAACAACACTGAGCAAAGAAATTATTAAAGAAAGCAAGCTTTTAGGTGAAGTGCTCACATATATCTATACAAGATCAAATTTGCTGCATGACATGGACCATCCTTAGAAGATTAATCAAAGTCCTTTATAACAAATATTGTTGTCTGTGGAACCACATTTAAGTCCTCAGATTATAAGGTCAAATAGTGCTCAAGAAAATTAATTCTGGGGAGGGGAAAAAAACCCTATTGAAAAAAGTGACTCCCACTTAAGCACTTTGGGCATTCAGACAGCATGATATCTTTGATTATGCAAGCAAATTCTTGTGTTAAATAATTTAAATGATTTTTTCCAAGACAAAGTTTAAGAGACTTACGGTGTCAGAGGGAAATAATTAAATAAGTATTTTCTGGGTTTTCACAGAATCACACAGTGTTTGAGACTGGAAGAGAACTCTGGAGGTCATTGAGTCAACCCTACTGCTTCTCAAGCCATGCCGCCTAGAGCATGTTGTCCAGGGCTTTTGAATATCTCCAAGGATGGAGAATCCACAACCTCTTGAGGACACCTGTGCCAGGGTTCAGTCATCCTCACAATAAAGCAACTTTTCCTGATGTTCAGAGGGTCATTGTGATGTCACAGAGTGATGCCCCCAACTCCTAGTACTGGCCTTGGTGATGCTGTGGATATGCTACAATAGGCAGAACACTGACGGTGGCCATGACGTGGTGGGGGGTGGTGAGGGGGCCAGCCCAACATGTATATAAAAAGGGATGCACCAGTCACGGCTAACAGATCAATATGCACATGAACAAAGGCATGGAGAAGCAACCAGAGAGGCAGGCTGCTCCTCTTTTCTTCCTTGTTCTGTATACTACAGGTAGATACCTTAACAGGGACATGACCATGCTCCTGTCTTCTACCTTCGTCAAAACTCAGCTAAATGGAGGACAGTGCTCTAAAGGACAGATAAGGTAGCCCCTGTCATTATCTTGCAGGGGGCTAGAAATTCCCCACAGCCTTGGAACCACCCAACATCTCTGTAACCTGTCAAAGTCTTCCTGACAATTGAAACCTTTTTCGTGGGTGACCAAGGTGGGGCTGGGTCACACATGAGTTCTGGGCACAGACCTTAGTGATTCTATGGCCATGTCACAGTTGGCAGAATACTCCAGGTGTCCTATGTCACAAGGAGGTTAGTGACTGGCCCTGGAAGGGTATCTCCTGCCTGTCTGAGAGATGTGGAATGGACACCCCTGGCCTGAGGGTGAGAGAGTCTGCGCAAGGAGACAGGGTTTGCATGTGGTGACAGAGAGTATCAGCTGTGGTTGCTGATTCTCCTCCTGTTTTTGACAGCATCAGCTATGGACAAGAATGTGACCAGATCATGACTTGCTCTGGATCTCCCCCTCTATCAGTCAAACTGAGAGGGTTGTACTTTTGTACTAGGACATTGACCAAAACTTAAGAAAACACACGTAGCCTCAGTCCATACCATGTCATGGTCCTGTAGGCAGCAGGACTGTCCCCATGGTGTGGTCAAAGAGAGCTCTGCACCACCTTACTCCTTAAAACCTGTCATTTTCTCATATTCTCACAGGAAACTGGGAGATGCCGCACAGCTGGGGACAGAGCCACACCACCCAGCATCTCTGTAACCTGTCAAAGTCTTCCTGACAATTGAAAGCTTCCTGCAACCATGGGCAATTAGAAATTTATTTATGTCTATTGCTCAACCCATAGGGCATACTTACACTTCCTATCTTGTTTTCATAGAGTATACAAGTATAAATTTAGAGGCTGTTTCTGCACATATGTCAGGAGTGAATTTCTCTTTGAAGAACTCACTACAACTAACTGACTACTAGACTCTGTTTTGGGTGGTTTTTTTACTGTCAGGTTTGGGGTTGGGTTTGTTTGTTTGTTTTTTAATTAATGGAAATTCTAAGAAAAATGTCTCAATTGAAATACTTTTTAAAAAAGTAAATTACATTTTGAAGATTAAAAAGACCCCACAAGTATGAGAAGCAGTTTTGACAGTTGCATGGAAAGTACTGCATTCTGAAAATATCATTGCCAATTCAATTCAATGTCAACTTTAGTTTCACTCTAACTTTTTATTTTCATATCTTGAAAGCAACAATAAAGCAGTACATGAAACTTACTAGACATAACCATTGGTCTTTTTATCTTTATCAGTTTTGTATTTCACACTTTCTCCATGTCCAATACAAGTCTTAAATACCCAATCAGCACAAGTGCTGAGAACTACACTACTGCTTGCAGTAGCACTCAACAGAAGCAATGCTAAAATATATAAAGTCCTAGATAAAGTGTTCATTTTGCAGAGTATATCAGAAACTGTGTATTGCACTGAAAATCATAAATATATTATACATTTTTACAGTGATTCACTTGTTCTAAATCATATAATACAAGCCCCTTGTAAGAAGAGATAATAAAGATAAATAATTGTTCTGAAATTCTTAGATATCAGAGTAATGATGCATATAGACTGATGTAATAATCATTTTTACAAAAAAGTTTTTCCACCACCACCTTATAGTACAATAAAAAAGAGGAGGGGGGAAAAAAGGAAAACAGTCCAGGAGGAGAGATGTAGAACAAGTACAGAAAAAAGAACTATGAAATACCTACTCATTAACAGCACTCTACCTATTCTGCAGTTTAAAAGAGGCAGAAATCCTCTTTTCTGGGGATGAAGAATAGGAGAGAAAAATTTTGTCAGTTACAGGACTACATGGTATGTCATAACATATAGCCACTGTAAGCAGAGGAAGATACAAGAAACTACATAAGACTTCACAAATAACCTTAATTCCAGTGTTCACTGTCTTCTTGGAACTTTAGTACTATATTGATTTCAAACAATGCTTGTTGTGCAATGTGTGCTTATAGAGAACAATGCTATCTCTGTCTTCATTCTTTATCTTTGCAACCATATTTAAATTCAAATGAGTTCTGGTAAGGAGATCTTATCTTTGTTTTTTCCCAAAAATGTTTTAAACTGACTAAATCAGTTCCACTTTTTTGAAGGTTTTTCAAGTTACATGAATATGATAAATGCACAGAAATATTAAGGTAATAAAAGAATAATAATAGTCTCCAAAAATACTGTGAGTGAAAAATGTCATGCTTGAATTCTTTGGCAATCAATATCAAGATACTGAAACATCAATGTTACTAGTATGAGTAGTATGTTGGTCTGGTTTTGCTACAAACTGTTCAGTAAAAGAGTTTCATTGTATTGGTTCACTTCTCTCAGCAATTCAGATGGTTTATGTGACTCACTTTAATGACCTTTTTTTCAACTGACACTTGCATAAGTAATTTGACTTTTACCTTGTTTTGCTACTCAGTCAACAATTATTTTCAGAAACAATATTTTCATATATGGGAAAACATGTAAACAGTAGATAGTTCTCTCTCTCTGCATTTTTTTATCATGCATCATTCCCACCAAAAATCATAACAAAAAAATCAATCTTTTTAAAATTAAGCCTCTTAGCTAATGAAACATTCTTGCAAGTGTTATGAGACCTATAAATACCTATACTGTTCAATACCTATAAAGTACGTTCTGTACTCCTTCTTTGTGTGTAGAGATACTGAAAAATAAAAAAAGCCTCTGGTTCAATATGCTCAAAGCAATGGAAAACAAAATACACAATAATAAATATAAAAATTTATTATTGCTCCTTTTTGTCTTTTTATACACATCTCTGAGAAGTCAGTATTTCCCTGCTACTACTTACTGTAAGTCATGCAAACCTTTTTTTTGTGGGTCAACCCTTCTTCTCTGCTTCTGTGTTCTACACTCCTGCTGCTTACACTAGAATCTACTTAGACATTTGGCTGAGTTTGAGGTAAGGAATACAGTCAGTATCAACCACTTTACAATCACTCTCATGTAAGTACATGAATGAGAGGCAATAGTTAAAAACTGAATCAAAGAACGAAAAGGAGTAAAATAAAATCAGAGCTTAAATAGAAGAATAAAATGATCAGGTTTTGGCTTTTTTAGGACAACCAAGAGCTTTCCACTCTTTGGAAAGCAGGGTCATTATTAGTTGTTTTTCTATGGTCTGTTTATTTTTAAGCCTTACAAGAGTGATACACTGTAGTGAAGCCCAGTCTCCCCAATGCATACATTTTTCTTTCTGAAAAGTATACTTTTTAATAGTGAAAGGGCATTCAAATGTAGCTGAGCCATGGATATAGCTATGAATTTAAAAACACTTTCTTTTCCTACAGGATTTGCAATTCTAAGCTCTCAGAACTGTGCTTGTAAGTACTGCTTGGAGGAATCTCCAGAGTCCCGGATTACCTGGACACTTCCGTTTTGGGTAAACACTGCGCTCACTCACTGTGTAGGCGTACTCCATACCTGTATAAGCTTATTGATTGCATATAATTAGCTCAGTTTCAATGCACCTGCAGTCTGCACTGACCCCACTCTGTGTTTGCATCCATCCCACAGCTAGGTGTGGAGTCTCAAATTGAAAACACTGTAGAGCTTGGGTATCACTGGTTATTGCTTCAATACACCACTGCACACTAGAAACCGTACAGTCAGAATCAGAAATTGCAGGCAGAGACACAAGACATTAATGCGTCAGAATCTCTGCCTTTATATCCTGTATGTGCATCAGCTCAAAATCTAGTTTACATTTTTTATCACCATATTAAGTTCCTTATTCTATTCCTCCTAAATTTTGTAAGGCTTATTGTAAAAGAAAATCTCTCCTGCATCATATATATAGCTTTCTACTTAAGCTATTCCTCTCTTCTGGGATGATTACATGACAGTAATGTACACAGAGCTTAAATAAAATTCACATGTGATTTCTAGATGAAGGACTGAATTGTCCCTCAAGAAAGAGGCTGCCCCTATTTGAGAAGCTTACTATCAGCCTATGACATTTTAAAGAATACAGTACGGCCTTCTTAACAGAACTGATCAGAGCCTCTCCTAGGGATGCTGGGAATCTGCTGGGAGCTGCAACCCATAACTGAATTCACATAAGCAATCACATTGCTAATAAATCTCTTCTTACCAGAGGGCTAGCTAAAATCCTATTCTGTAAGAGGTGGTATCCACAGAGATACTTGGGACAGAAATTACAGAAAAAATGAGGCTCTGGAAAGATAATGTTGGTAGTGAGAAAACAGAAGCATCTAAAGCCATTTGACAGGCAAAATTCACTGGACACACTGCACAATTTAATCATGGATGTAGTGGAATGTGAGAAAGAGGAAGCAAAAAGATGAACTACTGAGTTATCGTACCTAAAGCAACTGAAACAGTGTGAAGCTAAGCCTAGTTAAGACAGTATAGTAAGTATATTTTTTCCAAGGCCATGATGCTTCTGAAAGACAAATATCACCTAACACTGCGACAGAGGTGCTTCTTTGCAGAAGTTTACATTTCCCTAAAATTCATAAGTTTTATCTCTAATTATGAAACTCATTGTGCGACATAGATTTGAATACAAGATGGACTGAATTCTGAGAG